CAGCAGTAGTAGCCTATTCTCCACCCCAGCACCCAAGTTGGCAAATTTTCCACATTGACCTTAAATTTTGGTTGCATATCAGAGTGTTACATGCCTCTTTACCAAAATGTAATTCTACAATTACTGCAAGCCACCACAGCCATCATGATCTTCAAAAATATGTGAGTTATTAATTTTACGACGGAAAATGTTTTGATTTTGGTTTCCTATGTAGAAGTGATCCAATATTTATTAGACTGAAAGTTATTAGTCATGGCTTTCAAAACACATTTGTTGACAAGTAATTAACATATGATTTGGGACATCGTATTGTCAAATCCTGACAATATAAACATAAATACGGATTCAATTTTTAAAATAATAAATTATATGGAGCGAGAATTATCAAAGGCGCTAACCTCTGAACTCCACCAATAATTTAGCGCCTTTTCTGAGGCGCTAAGGTTTAGCACCCCAGGAAAGGCGTGAAAATGAGGCTTTGATTTTAGCGCCCCAGGAAAGGCGTTGTGTAGCGCCTTTGTTTTACCAGTGTAAACATAGCCTGAAACAAATATAAACAGTCAACACCGAAACCAAACCCACCAGTCACACAACTACAACACTGGAAACTGTATGAATGATGCACATACTTGTGTGTCTTCTCATTAACACATCGATTTCCAGTGTATCTTTCATGATCTTACCAGAGTGAAGAAGTATAAGCTGCTGGTAACAGAGGCAAAACGCCACACAGTCTGCACAGCTGTTTTCAAGGTGGACTTCGCATCACAGATAATTGAAGTAGGGGTCAGGTGCAGTGCTCTCAATACTGTCAAAAGGTTGAGGTATGAAGAGTCTTCCAGCCATTTGTACATGACTGGAATAGCCTGAAATAGAGACCTGATATTAAAGTAAGGTTTAAGAATGATAAAGACTAGACAAGGATAAGACCACGTACTTGGACCTTCCCCATATCATGGTCCCCAGAGAAGAATTTTCCGACAATAAAGACATCTGACACAGTCTGAGGGTGTCGAGGAGCAATTGGACACAGCATGATGAAAATGTTGTTGTCGTCCAGGTTATCGAAGTTGGGAGACTGAAACAGCATGGCCTTCCCTTGCGGAACAGGCAACTCGCCCTGAAAAAATCTTCTATTCCGAGTGCGAGCCACTAGAGTGTAGGCCGTCCACTTGCTCTCATTCAGAGTGGATATCGTGTCAGCAATATCAACTGGGGGG